TAATAGCAGACAGAGGGACCGCCTTTCAGTCAGGAAAATTCAAGGAATTCCTGGCAGAGCGAGACGTAGAACTCCACTTGATTGCCACAGGGGTTCCCCGTGGTAACGGGCAAGTAGAACGAGTTATGCGTTCCCTTTTCAATGCTATGCGAGCGGTTCTGAATGAGAAGGATGAAAAAAAATGGACACAAGTACTTCCCGCCATAGAAGACGACTTCAATGTGACAGTTAATAAATCAACTGGGTATTCCCCGAACGCCCTGATGTTCGGTGAAACCAAAAGATTAAGGGCCGCGGATCAGCTGTTAGCAGGTACCAATGCCTATACGGAGGTCGTCGATGCAGATCATGTACAGGAAGAAGTAAACAAACGCTTGGAAAAGATAACAGAAAAGGCAGCATACACGTTCAATAAGAACAGAGTTATCGCAGTGCCGTACAAAGAAGGTGATAAAGTGGCTATTCAGAATAGTCAATTATCTTTAGGAGGGAAGCTAAAACCAAAGTTCCAAGGCCCGTTCGAGGTAATACATTGCCTACCTAACGAAAGGTATGCATTACGACGTGTGGGCGGGCGCGGTAGGACGACTGTCGCCGCACACGAGCAATTAAGAACTTGGCCACAGTAAAGGTAAATTAAAAAAAAAAATATAATCATCGTATGGTCACTCAAGTTGAGAAGGCAAATATAAACCTGTAGAATAGATCCCCCAACTATGGAGTTGAGGCAAACAACAAATATAACTGTTAAACAAGGTTCCTGGTATCAACTTCAACACGAATGCAATGTTGGTTGAAATTGATAACTGGCTTATATAGAGGTCCCTGCTTGTAGGCTGTTTGTCGAGCTGTTTGTTTTGCTTTTTTAAGGTCCCTGGTTCACCAGGCTATGTTAAAAGGTCCCTGTTAGGACAGGCTATGTTTAAAGGTCCCTGTTTAAGACAGGCTATGCTTGAAGGTCCCTGCTAAGACAGGCTATGTTTAAAGGTCCCTGTTTAAGACAGGCTATGCTTGAAGGTCCCTGCTAAGACAGGCTATGTTTAAAGGTCCCTGTTTAAGACAGGCTATGCTTAAAGGTCCCTGCTAAGACAGGCTATGTTTAAAGGTCCCTGCTCAGACAGGCTATATTTGAAGGCATTTAAGATATCCTCCACTCAGGTTTGGGCATAGGGGCAGAGTAAAAGTCCGTGCTATGACAGGCAATGAATCAAGATCCCCAAACCTCTGCATGAATATGAGCTGTATGAAAAAAAAAAAAAAAAAAAAAAAAAAAAAAAAAAAAAAAAAAAAAAAAAAAAAAATTGAATTTGGCTTCAAATCGAAAATTTTGGGGTTTTGTTTAGGCTCAACTCCTCAGAAGTTGTTATGGCAGAAATTCAGAATGTTATTCGGATGTGATTTTGCAAACCAGTAAAACAATAAAATCATAATGAATTGATGTATGTGCTCTCAGGAACAAATTAGTGCTCTCAAATGTTTACAGATTTTCGCCTGTATGTGAATCTGGCTGAATTGTTGAAGGTGCGTGGACGCCCCTTACGTCAGGAAGGCCGTGTTAGCCCCCTCGCACCCGACACTGACTCCGTCTGGGTGATGTAGTCGTTCATCCACCGAGGAACTAGAGATCTGTGTTTATATTATGGGATTTGTTTATATTACAACATTCTTCCTCGAGAGAACCGAAGCCAGCCGGCCAGTCTGTATCGATATTTCATATAGGATACAATTTATTGAAGTAATCGGAATCAATAAATGAGTTTTTCCCGAATTTGTACAGTATTTTCTTCAATTATCAAACAAAAAGCTAACATATATATAGTGAAATATATTGTAAAGTCTACAAATCACAATTATTTTCATCTCTACAGGATGTTTCATGGACGTAGGCTACATGAGTTACATACATCCCTACATACATTTCACATATTTTGTTTTGTCTACTGAACCATTTCTCATTTTGAAAGCGTTGCCAAGTTACCTACTTAATTTTTTTTAGAGGAATATGATATACAGATGTTGATTCTGAAATGCCCGCTGATCTTCGTTTTCAACAATTCCATACAAAATTATGCACGAGCTTTGATAATTCTTCGAATATCGCCTTAATAAAGTCATAATTGAGAGTTATATCTATGTTACAGGATGCTTTATAATGAACGGTCCATGTTTCAAATAGAACACCCTGTATATATTCGTGAAAATGTATTCCCATTTCCATTCCCTCTCATCCTATGTCATTTATCGTACATCGGAAGTTTATATCGAATTGAATCGGCTTTTACTTGATGAAAATTCATTATAACATTGCGAGGTAAGTTTTTTACTCATTGTTGTTCGAAATATTCACATTATTTATTTTTTCAAGCTCATAATTGCATTTGTCGTAAAATTTCCTTAGATAATCAATACTACGAGGATATCGACGAATTAATATCGATTATATCGAGATCAGTTATTTTTTCCACAAAATCTTATTTATTTTGCAGACTTATTCAATCAACTCAATTGGTATAATATTGTTCATCAATTGTAGCATAAATGTCTGCATTCACAGAACGACCACTAGGCGAAAATTATAGCAATGCTTTTTTTTATCGATTGGAGCGCACGAAAATCTCTATAATGTTCGGAGAACATTGTTCGTACCTAGGGGGGATAGGGATAGAAGGTGTCTATTAGATTTTTTTCAACTTCTGCATATTATAATTTCTTGGGAATAGTTCCTTTGGCAATGAATTCCAGAGCTATGCTGTTTTATAGACAAATGAGTTTTGATAAAGTGCTGTTCAGCATATTTCAGTAATCTCTAATCTTGGAGCGCACGGAAGGAAATCCATATGTAATGTTTGAAATGGAATAAAAGAAAAAAATCAGAGGTTCATGTCTCGAGAGAAACATATTAATATAAGAAATATGACATCATATGGAAGAGAAAGTGAATAGAAATGCATAAACAATGAAATATACAGGGGTTCCATTATTTGAAATAACAAATTGACCATTCAATAGAGTCAATTGGCAATCCATTATGAATCACCCTGTAAGATAACTCCCAACTATGACTACATTTAAGCGTTTGACGATGTATTATCAAAAACTCGTGCATGAAATCATCAGCAGACATTTTAGAATCAACATGTATGTGTATCATAATTTTTCTAAATAATTGTAATCTCGATTCTAAATAAGTAGATATAAAATGGAATCAAACTTTTATATTCTGATCCAGAATTGTCTCAGTAATCCAAAAATGTTATAATATATAGGGTGTGAAATTTCAAAACCGAAGCCATTTCCGATGAAACCGAATGTCACCAGAAAGTGAAAACTTTCCTGTTCACAAACCATATTCCCACATCAAATTCAATTTGGATGCATTGAATAATCTAGAAGTTATGGGTTTTCTAATAGATTCGTTGACGCAGATACCTACATCTTGAAGAGCTGACTCCGATATTATCGCTCGGGGTCTCAAATCAAAATTTGAATGATTACACCCTTGAGAATGAATATTTTTGAAGTCCAGGGTTCGCTACAAATTCTCATTCGATCCCTTTGATTTGTGATCGTGCGATTTCTATCTTACATCACCCAGCCTACCAACCTTCTCAGTCCCTTTTTGAGGAAACGAATGCTTTCGTTCATAAATCATCAACTAGTATCCATCTCGAGCAATTGCTACTGGACTATGATCCATACCATTTGCTTCTAATGGCTTATGAAGTTCAGGTAGGTAGCAAGGTAAAAGCTTGAAACATGTTAAATTTGTGAAAACCACTCTGGGTTCTCATCTGCAATAAGTCATCGCTATAAGCTATAAGTATAGGTACATATTGTAGGCGACTGAGTTGAGGATCGCAGTGCCAAGTGGCCGGTTGTGGAACTATATGAAAGTACATTATTTTGAAATGGTCCATTTGCTCGGGTGCACACTGCACAGGGTGCACTTTTTCGTTTTTTCGAAATAGATTTAAGCAAAGACAACTCCACTTTTGGCTGTTTATTAGCTGTGTACTATTGTGATTCGAGGGAGCTTTCCAGCAGATATTCGTTCAATAGATAGATATTTTATCGATACTCTCATGAACGATGCTCTTTTGAATTATCAACAATTGTACCTCCCTTGGCATTCCCCGCGAGATTAACACGTCGAGTTGAGGCTTCGCACCCCTTCGTGGTCACTTTGGAGACCTGCAGAACATCTCTTTCCAAAGACTCATCCATCCAACGAACAAAAAGGCTCTGGAACACATTGCCAAGGAAGGTGTTCCCCGAGGCATATATAACTTCCAGAAATGTAAGAAGAACACCAATTCCTACCTTATTTCCCTTGGTTCTCACGATGTTCTCTGAACATTACAGGATATCCCTTTTCGTGGGTACCAGAACATACAAAGAAAGTATGATTCAATACTTCGAATACGTGAGATTCGCAACATCTCGTTCCCATTCAGTAGTACAATAAATATTGCGAATTAAGTGGAGTGAATATAATGTTGACGTTCACATTGAATATGTAGATATATAATATTGTAGTTGATTCATCTACATGTGTTCATGAAAGAGAAAAAGTCCCCAAAGCTGGATGTATAATTTATCTACCTATAGTATAGGAAAAATTGAATATATTTGCTTCTGAGTTACGAATTCTTTTTTTGAAATTCCTATAGGTACTGTAAATTTTCACTTCTGGGAATTAGATGCAACTGAATTCAATCTCGAAGTTGAGAGAAAATCTTTCAATCATGCACTGACTGAAATTATCATTTTTTGTCAATGTATACAAAAATGCAATTTACTTTCCATTAGTTACTTGAATATCAAGAGGGCGTATCACTTATTTTAAATCGCCTATATGCTAAGTTCCTTGAAAAAACGATTCATCTGTGTATTTTGAAGTCTATTCTTGTAGTGAGAACCATTTATAATGAAAATCCCCACAATTTTCAATACCACAACCTTCCCACTTCATCATTCTAATAGTCCTCTTTTTATTTCAGAGTGTTTTAGAAAATGGGGCACTTGGGAGTACATCCGTCTCCCATTTTGAACCACAAGTCGCCATGGTCTGCGATCCCAGTGCCCATGGCCAAGAGGTCTTTCATCCCAAATACATGACAGACCAAGGAGAATGGGCTTCAGATCTATACTCCAAAGCTGCATGCTTCAAAGACAAGATGGATATTTTGAACTATTGTAAAAAGGTGAGGAAATGAAAACATTTGAAGGCATTCCCAACTAGCACTCTCAGTCACAGATATAGCTGAAGAAACTACACATACCGGCAAAAAAACATTACAATGTCAAATTGATCGCCCTGTAATTTTTGTAATTCTCGTCTGATTTTGGTGAAATTTTGACGAAATCGTAGCTTCATGTTTTAAAATGTCTGCCGTTCTCAAGAAAACCTGATGGCTTGATCATTATACAAAAATAAATGAAACACAATGGTGTCATGTCAATATCTCCTTTTTGAGAAAAGATACCAATGTTCTGAGAAAGTATGGAAAGTTTTCAAATTTTATTAAGAATCAAAAATCCATATTTATTTCTACATGGTATGAAATAACTGTGATATTCGAATAATATGTCTGAGATATGAAATTCCCTTTAATTAACCGCTATTCTGTCAGTTATTGCGGAACAAACAATTTCATCATTTCAGTTCATATGAGTAATTTTATTTAGTGATGTAAAGTTGTTGAAACTTTACCCAGTGTAAGATCATAAAAGCTTATACCATATAATGATTCAGAATCTTCTGAAGTAGTCTATACTCGAAGTGGAGGGGGATGATCAAGGAGAGAAAAAAACTCAAAGTCGTCTCCACAAGTTCACTGGTGAAGAAGAATTTAATTGGAAAAAATACAGGGTGCTTCAAAATTCAGAATTATGATCAGCCTGTATCTGTTCCAATTAAATGTCAGTAGATAGTGAATCGAAAACTAAGATGGGGACATGTTAGCCGTTTTGATCGATAATGAATAGTTTCGACACAAATGAATCCTGAAATTGATGAAATCAGCTCTCCAGGTAGAATATCAAAATGCAATAAAATACAGGGTGCTCCATTCAAAATAACGAAGTTGCTAGTTGTTTCTAATAGAAGTGGCAACACTGTATCGATGAAAATATTTCAGACGGGTAGGGAATGTTCAATTATCAGAGCATTCCAATTTTCAGAATATTCTGTTTTCTTGTTCTCCAGATACTTCTAATAGGCCATCCACCGTGGATCACCCTGTATATAGGAGAAACAAACATCTTTAACTGTTTATTTTGAAAACAAAAAGGTGGAAAAGTGTAAAGAGATTTTACTCACGTGGAAGTGGCTATATAATTTTTTTCCATTTTGTTTTCAAGATGTTTGTTTCTTCAATATTTATTACTATTCTTTTATAATTCAACTATTTATCAATGTTACGTTTAACTATATAGTTACAATAATTGCATTTCACTTGTTTTTCGATATTTTACTTCATATCATCAGTTTTGTATTACTTGTCATTTTACACTCAGCTGTGTAACTTTTTTGCTAGATGTTAAGTTATACTAATTTTCTTTGTAGATTGACTTTGTTAGTACTATGACTGATGATGACCATTTGAATGGTGGAAACATTTTTCAATCAGAAGTAATGAAGCAGAATTGACTGCACACTTCATCACTTCATCAGTGAACTTGTGGAGACGATTTTGAGTTTTTTCTCTCTTTGACTCATTTAATTCTTAAGGGTATAAATGATTGTAAGATCTTAGTGGCTGCTGAAATGAAATTCCCATTCACCGTTTCATGATATGAAAACTATGACAGTAAAGATTGCAAGTCTGAAAATATAAGTGTGATAATTAGTAGCATGCTTCATTATTGAACATTTTTTCAATAGCCACTAGCTACGATGTCGAATATTCATTCATAAAAACCCAATATAATAAGAATCCGAATGAATAGGTACAGAGCAGGTATAGGCATTCTTGGAATGAGAAATGGTTTTTAAAATTTGGCATTGTCTGCGTCTGCATTATGTCGTCTGAAATTTCGTCAATAAGCCCATATCCCATGAAACTCGAACATCTGTTACTCCTTCGTTTTTTGTTTTCTTATGATCATAATATGACCACAACTCTAGAGGTATGGTCGGTATACTATAAGGAAACTATTCTTGATAATAACTTATCCACCTGCTCCAGGTGTATGTTCCCTTCCTTTTTACAGACTTCAACATACTAAACTGAAGATTCTACTCTTTTTTGTCGATCCGAAATATACAGGGTGTATCTAAATAGCACCGAAAAAATTCAAGGGGTGTTTCCTTGTGACATTCTAGCTAATAAAGTTCATATAAACATGTGTCCTACCTTGCTTCGCTTTTGAGATACAGAGGATGTTGAAGTTGGAAGTATTAATTGTTTTTATTCATAACCCCCCTGTATGAGCTTTCATGGAGCCAAAATTTAGTATGGATGGAGACTGAAAAAGCCCCAAAATTTCAAAATGATTCTAATTGAGGTTATTGAGTAATCTCAATGGAAGTCTTGAAAACACCTACATCAAAATTTGGAGTCAAATCGAATTTTTATTATTTCCTCAAAAACTGAGCTAGATACAAAAATCACACAGGGCATAAAAAAGTTGTTATTTCAATAGTTCAATCGGATAGAAATATGAAACTAACAAGAAATCATCATTATGTGATGTTTTAGTGTTTTTTTAGCATTTATGAACATCCTACCTATATACATCATTTTGAAGGGAAAAAATAACAAATTCAATGGAATTATAAAATACAGGATTTTCCATTGAAAAAAATATAGGTTCGTGTCGTATATGCAAAACCATACCCCGAAAAAAAAATTGAGTGCGCCACTGGATTCTACGCAAAATTTTGTATCAGATGTAGTTTTCAGCTCAGCATTATTTCTGACAACTTCGGAGATAAAGGAGGGGCCCAAAAAGTATAAATTTCCAAACTCGCCCTGTATCTCATAAACGGAAACAGTCATGCAAAATCTGATTAGGCCATCTTGAGTTTCACAAAAAAATAGGAAAGGAACGTGAAAACCGCAAGGCTCTATCTTGAATAACAAGCCAGAAACCTAGCTGTCTCACCCAAAATGGGATGCACTGTACAGGGTGGCCAACTAAGAATCCAAAGTTCGATACCTCTGTTGTCTTGAGAGATACAAAAAAAGTCATGTATCAAAATTGAAGTAATAACCGAGCTTCACATTTCAAAATTTATTTGAAATACACAAGGTGTTCCGTAAGGTCACAGCACATCAAAGCTATGTTTTTCTCATTGGAACACCCTATATTTCATTTCATTTTTGAATTCTCCCCGAAGATCTGATTTCAACGACCCATCATACTTAGGGTCCAGCAGTGAAAGTTACTGACATATAGGGTGTGCAAAATCGAGATTTTCCAAGTTCAGGATTTTTTTCTGTCGAAACTGTTCATTATTCATCAAATCGGTTTACATGTCCCTATCTCAACTTTTCACTCACTATCAATTGGTGTTCAATTGACATTTAATTGGAACAAATTATGAATTTAGATTTCTTGACCACCTTGTATCAATTTCAATTGAACACCAATTCATAGTGAGTGAAAAGTTGAGATAGGGACATGTAAACCGTTTTGACGAATAATGAACAGTTTCGACAGAAAAAAATCCTGAACTTGGAAAATCTCGATTTTGCACACCCTATATGTCAGTAACTTTCACTGCTAGACCCTAAGTATGATGGGTCGTTGAAATCAGATCTTCAGGGAGAATTCAAAAATGAAATAAAATATAGGGTGTTCCAATGAAAAAAACATAGCTTTGATGTGCTGTGACCTTACGGAACACCCTGTGTATTTCAAAGAAATTTTGAAATGTGGAGCTCGGTTATTACTTCAATTTTGATACATGACTTTTTTTTATATCTCTCAAGACAACAGAGAAATCGAACTCTGGAGTCTTAGTTGGCCACCCTGTACATGACATTCACCATGAATATCGATAAATTTACCCACTGTGACGCTACTGGTAATATTATTTCGAATCTAATTGCACTAGAAGAAGCTCCATATTACTATTAACAAAACCACAACGTTTTATTGAAATTGATGGAGAGACAATTGAGAAATGAATATAGAAAATATCTGTATCTCGAAAACGAAGCAAGTTAGGACACATGTTCATATGAACTTTATTTCCTAAAATATCACAAGGAATCAGCCGTTGAATTTTTTCGGTGTTATTTAGATACACCCTAGCTATCATGCTCTGGCACCTATAGGGACCTATATTGATAACGCATCTTTTCAAAATGGCGTAGAAACGTTTTGTTCCTCGAAGATTATAGGGATTCCCTTGCGTGCGCTCCAAGATATAAAAAAAGGATACTGTAATGCGAGTTATCAGCTGAATATTCCTTTGTGACCTATACTCACAATTTTGAGCAGTACTTATGGATGGTATCTATTTACTTGAATAATCGATGTCCAATGCAAAAAATTCGAGATCCAAATCCGGGAGTGTATAATTTGCGGACTGGAATAAAATTTTGCGGATAGTGCGGATTGGCTATTTCTAGCAAACAAATCGTTGTATTCATTGCCTATGTAATGGATTCTGCTCATCGAACTTCACGATAAAAAGTTTCAGATTTTTTTCACTGGATACCCTGGGGAGCACTTTACTCGTGTGTTTTTTCATAAAATCTTGCGGACTGGGTAGGAGAGAGCTGAGGAATGGTGACCCCTAACCATTTTTTTCTATGAGTAGATTATATTATGGCAATTGATCACAAAAACGAGGGAACAGATATACATAATATTCAGGTGGTGAAAATTTGTTGAATGAAAAAAAATTTTGTCACTGAATAAAAAAAATGGAGGGCTACTATTACCCCAGATAGTTCGAGTAATGGTGACAGATGGCCAAAATGGCTCCAATAATTTAAATAAGTAACTCAAGTGCAATAATCACAAGTAAATATTATCTTTTCAGTATCAGCACACGATTTATTTGCCCAAATGTCCAGAGACTGCATTTTAACCAAGTTTTTGCATTATTTCCGTATTCGCCACACAATTAACATAATATATCTGAGCCTAAAGCGTCTTTGTCTTTCTTCATCAGTCCGAGATGCTTTTTCTATCTGTCTGCGATAAATTTTCGGCATCTGGAAAATGTTCTATCGCTCAACATAATGTTTCGTTTAGCAATGGGGTAGCAAGGTAGCATTTCCCCAACACGACCGGTCACCATAACTCCAATAAACATGTCTTCCAATCGGCATTCATAAAAAATAACTCATTGTAACTAGAGCAATTCATTGCTTATAGAGTTCTAGTATAATGTATAAATTAGACATTTTTCAGTCAGTTTCTAAAAATGTTCGTCTTCATCAACAATATCTCACGCGTTATATATAGACATTTGCTTCAATCGGCGGCTGTGGAGCAAATGGAATGAATTAGTGAAATCAGTTTTATTTGTATTCAGTTCATATCTTCTCAACTAGTTGAGATATATTTGTAGATAGAAAAACCAATATTTTGGCAACACTAACATAGAAAGGCGAACTATTGGGCGGCTATTACCTCTGTGGTCACCATTCCCCCGGTTCCCCCTAATTCCGCAAGTCAAATCATCACATTTTTCCCAAAAATTGATTTGATCTTATGAAAAAATAAGACGAAAATATTAGAACTTTTTCCCTAGCCTTCCATCCTACGCGTGTGTTTTTCCATTATATTTTGAGAACTGGCTAATTTTGAAAGGCAAATCAACTCGAGCATTACAAAAATCAAATACACGATGGAAATTTTTTAAAATTTTTTCCTAACCTCTCTGGGAAGCACTTTACTCGTGAGTTTTTTTCATGAAACCTTGCGGACTGGGTATATTTGCAAGTCAAATGACCATAATTTTTACAAAAATCGGCTCATCTAATGAAAATACATTTACATAGTTTTGAAATTATTTCCCTAGCCCCCCTGAAGAGCACATTACCCGGGTGTTTTTTCGTAATACCTCGCTAAATGGCTATTTTGCATAATTTTATTAAAAAACATCCCCCAAGTCTGCTAAAATTACACTTACCTACCTATAACCATACATATCTATACTGAATTGTATCAATGACCAAGATGAAAATGATTCATGTATTGATTATTCATAAAGAGATTAGCCAGCATTTCGAAAATATATCATCACATTAATATGCATCTTTAACTCTACAAATTGTGTTTTCCTTCTTTACAGGTATATCCGAAAAGGGATATAACGAACATAGTAGAGAGCAGTCACTATTTGAAAATTGGATCTTGGTGCCATGGAGGCACTTCCCCAAGTGGACAATCTAGGGGAAAATGCAAGATAGCAAGATGGGTGAAGCCATTCCGATGTTTAGGTTGGTATCAACTCAATGTTTTCAATCCATAAATGACAATAGCTAATACCTCTACTGTAGGCTGTTTCAAATCACATTGCATTCTTTGTTAAAAGAAACAATTTTATCGACAAAGTCATCAGAGAAGTAGGATTAGTTATTATGGGATCACATCTACAAAAGAGAAAAAAACAATAAACAATAAAATTGTGCTGGAACATACTGGGTGTCATAACTATTGGGGCATATTAAAATATTGCTGTTCAATCAATTCAAAATATTGCTTTTCAATCGATAAAGTATTGACTAATCTCTCGCACCAAAATTCATTCACTGACAAGGAATTTAATTCAATAGAAACAATTATCTGACAGTCCAAAGCACACTCTTCATAAATGGAATAATATTTCAAATCGCCTTCTGAAACTTTGAACTGTTCAATTGCGTTTTTCTCGATAACGGAAGAAAGGAGGGATTCTTCCTTCCTTCGAAAAACTTCACTCCACCTTGAACAATATGGACTTCTGCCAAAGGTTAAAACTATAGTATTTTTTGTTGACATACTCCTGATGTCTTCTAGGTGCATTTGTTTTTGAATGTACGACAAACTTATTTTCATCATACAGGACGTGAAAAGAAATTCTGAATTCTAATACATATAATGATGAAGATGATGGAAAGTCCTTATTTCGAGTGACAACGGAAAATGGGGAACACTCAAATCAACAGAATGTAAAATCGCAGAACCGTAATTCATCAGAATATACATTTTTAAACCAGTAATTCAACAGAACAATATCTTATAGGAATCGTATTTATCTTTACTCTAGATGCACAGAACCATAATTCCTCAAACTCCATTTTGTATACTGTACATGAGCATACTAGACAATAACAGATTGCAAATTCGCAGATATGTATTTTTCCATAAAAGCAATATCGCGGATCCGCAAATATTCAGAATCGAAAAATAACAAACCAACATCACACCAGAACGATATTCCATCAAAACCATAACAACACAGATCGTAATTCGTCAGAATCGCAAAATGACAGACCGCACATTAGCAGACCGTACTTCGTCAGAATCGAAAAACAACAAACCGTTTATCGACAGAACAGTAAAATATTAAAACCATACATTGACAGAATGGCATGATGTCAGAACAGCACATTTGTAGAATCACAAAATTTCAGAATTGTAAATTGACAGAATCGTACTTTGATAAAACCGAAGGTTGAGTTCTCATCACACACCAGGCAGCAGAATCCTTCCAATTCACTCGAAATCATGCACTTTATGAAGTATCGCTGGCAGGATGGTACTATACAGTCTCCATTTTTCCCCGTTCGTCCTCTGGCATTGTCTTTCCTTGTATACGGAAATGTCCGCAAGCAATCTATGCATAGAAGTGAATGATGATTTTTGTTGGGTTCTCGCCGAAAAGAAACATATAACAATGAAGATGATGGAAAGCCATAATTTTGTGTGTGACAACGGAAAAAGAAAATGGTGTGTGATGAGAACTCAACCTTCCTGCCGATTGATCGATGGATGTCCTGATAGGTCAATGGGCAGAGCGTTGGACATGTAATCCAGAGGTTGTGAGTTTCTTACTTTCACGCGGGGCGGTGGAGTTTTTTCATTTTCCGTTGTTACTCGAAATTAGGGCTTTCCATCATCTTCATTTTTATATGTATCTTTTCGGTCGAGTAACCGACAAAAATTATCACTCACATGTAAAATTTTCTGTCTAACATTTCATGTAACGAAAGAAAAATTGGCGCAAGTTTCTATTTATCGGCGGTGGTATGACTCCACCACTCAATGTTTCTGGTATAATTTTTATTGAGAAGCAAGCATTGTTTTTTTTCAACACCGCGACCGCTCCCACCACTAAAAACCTGCCAGACATCCCGAACAGTTTATAATGATGTTACGGCATAACAATAAGGTAGAAGATATTGATTTATTGATCGGACATTGAAATTTGTTGTCAGCTCTCCGTCTAGTATTTCAGCATGGATATATTTCTAAGAGCAATCTGACCCTGAAAAATAACTGAAAATTAACTGCCACTTTTTTTCAGAAGGACCGTTCCAATCCGACGCGCTGTTAGTACCGGAGAACTGCATGTTCGACCACATCCATAACCAGAGCATCTGTTGGAATTTCGGCAGATGGAACACGACTGCAGGAAAGGCCTGCCAGGAAAAAGGACTCCAGCTGAGGTCGTTCGCGATGCTTCTGCCCTGTGGAATATCGCTGTTCAGTGGTGTTGAATTCGTATGCTGCCCCAAACATTTCAAAGGTAACAGTATACCTTCTTCCTAAAGAAGTATATGTTCATGTCTATCAGATATGAGTCTTGAAACATCGACATTTCATGCGCTAGACCGGTTCTATAATGATAACTGAAACTGAGGGTGCAGTCAGTTGGTTTCTCACTTTTCGGAATGAAATTATCCATAAAACGGGAATCGGCTAGCTCTAGTCGTTTTATATAGCTGTGAGCCGAACTATAGTATTACTGCTGTTTACAACAATTAACGTACAAATTCGAACGTTCCGCTATTGATTAGTGGCAGAGACAGAGAAAAGATAGAATATGTGTGAGTCGAGTTTTTTTTTTTAATTTTATTTTCATCGCTTGGAGCGCACGAAAGGAAATCCCTGTGTGTGTGGGTTGTATGTGGTCTAGAGGGTAAAAAGGAAAGTACCCTTAAGTGAAAGACGGTGAAAGCAGTCAGTTTCTTCACTTATTTCGCCCGTTTTTGTTCACACTGATTTGAATATACAGGATGATTATGAAATCACGAGGCTATCACCTGTCAAGCGTTGTCGGTCGAATTTCGCAACACCCTGTATATAGATGTGACTCGAACTATAGTATTACTGCTGTTCACAACTATTAACTTGGTACACATTCGAACGTTCCCCTACTGATAACTTGCAGAGACAGAGGAAATATAGAATATGTGTGGGTTGTATGTGATCGAGAAGAAAAGTACCTTCAACTTTACAGTAGTCGCTCGCGGAGTATCACTCCGCACGCAAGTAAATCATATTTTTTCTCGAATACACATCACTTCCTCATTCCGCCTCATTCAGTACCTTCCTAAAATGACGGTTTCAGTACGAATCAAGTACTACGGCTGTGCAATTTTGCTTCATTTCTGAATACTCCGCAGCGACCATAGACGCCCGAGTCTTATTGCATATCGCAGTTACACTTTGCAGCTGTTTTGGGCGTTTCAGGCGAAATCATATTTCATTAATTTTGCGCACGGAAGGAAATCCCTATAATATTCGAGAGAGGAGGTAGGTGCTGATTTTTTTTTTTATAAACATGGTCGAGCTATAGACCAAATTATATCCACTCGCTTTCATTGTATGTATCTGCATGTGAGAAATTCATAGGCTTATACAGGGTGTATCTTAAGTACGTGTAGAAAATTCAGGAGCATATTGCTAACGTCAAAATAAGAAGAAAAAATTGTATAAATATATGTCCGAAAATTATTCGTTTCTGAGATACAGAGTGTCAAAGCTGAATTCTTATTTTGGTTTTTTGTTAATAAATTTCAAAATAATTGTGATATTGGAATACAATTTGGTATCTAGGGGTATTTATTGTCAGTGACAATATCAAGTTTTATGTTAGTTTGTCTCTTTCGTGGGGGTGGCACCACCTACATGTCTTTTGAGTCTTTTGATAAGTCATAACTTTTTTGTGTGTACCTGTATAACGTTTCATAGTAGAAAAATAGATTTCTAGAACACTTTTGTGTGAAAAATTATATTCCTGGTAGAGGTCGCTGTGAGCAATTGTTTTCGAAATAATCGATGCATTTGAATTATTTCCATGTGGCTCGTAAGTCGCCTCTAGTGAATATCAGAAAAGATACGCCGGTGCATTTTTCTTCTTTCATTCAATATTTTCCTTCATTCAATATTTGGGCTCTCCCGATTTAAAGAAATTCACTCAAGTGAGTATACTTGTCATGTTATTTCAATCCGTTCTTGTGACAGTGAAAGTTTATTGTTGTTCTCTGTACTTGTGATCCAAGCTTTTTCAACTAACTGTTTTATTATCAATTTGGTCTTAGCTACTGTTATCATTATTAGTATTACATTGTAACACCCGATTCCTATTTTTCAATGAAATTGAAGAAAAATAATTTCCCTTGACTCAATTGATTTTGAATTTGAACTTCTTGTCATCCCAAATTACTTGCATTGATTATTTCAAATCCTAATAACTCGAAAACAAATGCTCGCAGCGACCTCTACCAAGAATATATTTTTCATGCAAAAGTGTTTTAGAAATCTATTTTCCTATCATAAAACGTTAAGTTGAGTCGAAAGACTCAAAAGACATGTAGGTGGCGCCACCCTCACGAAAGAGAAAACTAACATTGAATTTGATATTTTCATTGAAAAATACGCCTTGATACCAAATTTCATTCCAATATGACAATTACTTTGAAATTTTTTTACAAAAAACAATAATATGAATTCAACTTTGACACTCTGTGTCTCAGAAACGGATGACTTTCGACCATATGTTTATACGAACTTTTCTCCTTATTTTGACGTCAGTAACATGTTCCTTAATTTTTTTACACGTACTTAAGAAACACCCTGTATATCACGCATATATCATTCATTCACAGAGATCGACCATGAGTCAATATTTGATTGAAATTGAAGATATAGTGACAATTGTCGATTCTGATTGGTTCTCGAAAACAAATGTGAAATGGTCAGTGTTATATTCTGATCATTTAGGTTTCAATCTGACATTTGATGAAATATCATTGATAATTAACTTTCGTATGATGAATATTGACAGAACTCGTTTTCCAATATCAGTTAATAGTGAGTAAATATAAATTAGTGATGCCAGAGGTTCGTTCATACATATATATATATGCTAATTATGATACCGGAGATTGAATATTAGACGTTCGCTTCATCATCTAGAAGTTGTCATCTTCCGGAAGATACTTCGTTTAGGAAATTGAAAACAATTTTCATGAAATTCCCCTCTTTGATCTTCTCACTCCTACCTCCATGCTGGAATTTATAAATCCGCAGCATTATAGTCGGCAAAAATTATCATCTGAATAACAAACGAACGGAGTGAATAATTCACTCCACATAAATAGGAATTGATGTTTCAACTACCCATTTCCACGTTTTATGTGTTGATTTCATTTCAGCACTAGAGCAGGTAGGAATTAACATCGAAACTTCATTAAAATTCTTGGACTGATATCCTCGTGAATTATTCACATTCAGGGATTAATGAATTTCATGCAGCCGTTCAACTGGAAGCGAAATCATCATACTCGAATTCCATTGGCAGGAACTGATGGAGTGTTTCTCCGATGTATAACCACAGAATACTCAATATTCTGTGGTATAACCTCTGTTTGACACATGCGACTGTAAAGGATACATATACTTTGAGTGCAGAAACACTCCACCAGTTCCTGCCAATGGATTCGCTATACAGGGTGTCTTTTTTTTATCGCTTGGAGCGCACGAAAGGGAATCCCTATAATGTTCAAAGAACATCGTGCGTTCCTAGGGAGGATACGGATAAAAGGTAGGTATTGGAATTATTCTTGAACTTCTGGAGATTATATGTTGTTGGAAATACTTCCTCTGGCAATGAATTTCAGAGCCTAGCCGTTCTATATGGATGAAGGAGTTTTGATAAAGTGCTGTTTGACATCTTTCGAGGTCGACAACGAAAAGATGTGCTGACTGGGCTTGTCTAGTTCGTCTGACTGGTATTGCTAGTGAAGGAATGATAGCAGAGATTTCCGAAGAACATTTCCCATGGAAGTATTGATAAAAAAGTGATAGGTCGCCGACCTTTCTACGGTGTTCCAATGATGTCAAAGAGTGAGTGAGTGTGGCGTCATTCACCAGGCGGATGACTCTTCTCTGGATGAAATCTTAGAGCATTAGCGTATGTTTTGGTGCTGAACCCCATATGTGGGAACAGTATTCTAGAACAGGCCGTATCTGCGCTTTGTAGATCATGAGGAGCTGTTGAGGTGTAAAGTAGCTTTTCGCACGAAACAAGAATCCGAGTTTTTGTGAAGCAGCTTTTTGCGATGGATCTGACATGATTATCCCATGAAAGAGTGTTGCTGATGGAAATACCGAGCATAGATATGGTGGGCTTGGTGGGGATGGTGGTGCCAGACATTACAATGTCGGGCATATTGAGTTCCGCCTTTCTAGAGAAAATACAGGCTTGAGTTTTGGTGGCGTTGAATTCAACTAGATTGTTGGTTCCCCAGGCTGTGATTTCAGCAAGGTCTTCATTGACAGCATTGACCTGCCTGCGCCGTGAGTTCTTAGTTTCCTGGGATGGAATGGGAATTCTGGAAGAGAGCGCAGTATGGAGGGTATTATCATCTGCAAAGCTGTGGATGGGGCAAGTTGTTACTCCCAACAGATCATTGATATAAAGAAGGAATAATGTTGATGCCAAAATTGATCCTTGTGGAACGCCGGAATTGATGCCAATTGTATCAGACGATACACCGTCCACCACCACATGAAGCGATCTGCCTGAAAGAAAACTTGATAAGAGATGGCATAGCTGATGTGGTAAGCCGTATGATGGTAGTTTGTGGAGGAGTCCTTCGTGCCAAACACGGTCGAATGCTTTCGATAGGTCCAACGCGACAGCTATAGATTCCCCGTGTTTTTATAATGAAGCTTGCCATAAATGGGTGACGTAGGCAAGTAGATCTCCAGTAGATCTTCGGTGGCGAAAGCCGTATTGTCTATCATTGATGATTCCTGAGCTCTCCAGTATTTGATAAGCTCAATATTGATAGCTTTCTCCATCACTTTGGAGATTACTGATAACAGGGAAATGGGCCTGTAGTTGTTGGACAGGTTCTTGTTCCCTTTTTTGGGGATTGGTTGGACTCTAGCTGTCTTCCAGCATGATGGAAGAATACCCGACCTGTACGAGACGGTAAACAACTTGCAGAGAATCGGTGTTGATTCTGGTGCACATTTATTGAGGATAATGGGTGGAATTCCATCAGGACCGTTAGCCTCGTTTTGAGACCAAGCAAAATTCGTCTGATAGTGCGTTGACGGGTGGAATGTTTGGCGGCACTTTTCCTTGGGAATCTAAAGTAGAGTTTTCTGCGAAAATCTCTGCAAAAATATTTGCTTCCTCCTGCGATGTTGTTGCTGAGGTGCCGTCGGATTTGGACAGTGGTGGAAATGAACTATTAGTGAAATTTCTTCCGACCGCTTCAGCAAAGAACC